CGGAATCGTCACTGCCTCGCCTTTCTGTGCAAGTGTTTCCTTCTGTGCCCATCCCCAGAGCATGTTTAGTCCATCTTTTCTTCCCCACTGCAGCTCTCCAGCACAAGTGCCACTTCTCACACACACAAAGCAAACAGTCATCTGCTTCAGGTTTGGCTTAGAAAGTAAAAACTTTAGTACGTCTGGCTACGTGATTAAAACACACAGACGTGTGGGTGGTCACAGTTGGACAGCTTTTCAGGAGGGAAAAGAGCTGATTCAACAGCACACCTCCATACACCTTCAGAAAAAAACAGAATTCATAGCAACTCCTAAGACCCCTGCTGAGGAACCCAGCCCTCCTGGGGACACCCAATGCAGCAGCCACGGGAAAAGGATGGGAGAAGCCAAGCTTGGAGTGAAAAAAAGATTACATCAACACAGCAGCTTGTAAAAAGCCTTCACACAGCAACAGTGGGAGCCAGTCCCATTTGCTCCTTCCTTTTTGGGATGACCTAAACAGGAAATCAGAATTAATAGATGTATAATCAGTTAAACCACACCTAGAAGCCCGAGAAGACCTTGATGTAGAACAACTATCTTATGCAGCTTGCTAGCTGGAGAACTCTAGAAATGATGGGACTGTGAGAATATATAAGTTACAAAGAAATAGAGAAGAAGACAAAGAGAATAGAAAGGAAGAGACTAGAAAAATAAGGAAAAAAATGGGAAGGGTGGAGAAATTTGGGATGTCTCCATCCCCCCCCAGAGTCTCTCTCTCGAGAGAGAGAGAGAAAGAGACAGTGGCAGTTTTGTCAGCAGTTCACCGTGGGGAGGGAGAAGAGTGGGGGGGACCGCAAGGTGCCCAGCTGCCGTGGGAGCTGGAGCCTGGGCAGCAAGCTATCTTTGGGAGTCGGGACTTTTAACCCTTCCTTGAGAAATGAAAGCTTTGTGAAATTTTTCTCCTCCTTGGTTTGAAAGAGAGGAAGAGAGACAGCTTGGACCCTGGGATGTTAGAAGGAGAAATTCTAAGTGGGAGGAGATGATGGAGTGGCTTTTGGCTGGACTTTTTCTTGGTAGCCACTGATCTTCTCCTCCAAGAGAGACTGTATTTTAGGAGGATGCCAGTGAGCCAAAGAGACCTGCTTCAACTGGGAAAAGACAGAAGTGGAGCGAACAGAGAAAAGTTAGGGAGGTTTGTGGTGGTACCCCCTGTCTTCAGAGAAGAAGAAAAGAAGATCTCTTTTCTTGGACCCTCGGCCCCAGGGGAAAATGGGGGGGTCTGTGGTCCCAAAAATGAAAAACTGAACTGTTGTTTTTTCCCCTCTTGGCAGGGCATCCTTGAAAGGAAATACCCTAAAAGCAGTCTGTCCATCCATGCATTGGTGGTGAGAGCACTGTGCATGGAAAGGAGCGGGTCACTATTGGCAAACTTTTTCTCCGGGCGGTGCCATGTGTGACATGGAAACACAGGGTGTGGCAGCTGTGTTTCTTGGGGGGCCTGTGGCACAGGAGAGGCTCCTCTCTCCCTCGATGGACTGAGTATCAATTGTCTGGAGGGTGGAAACCTGATTGGGGTCCAGATTGTGTCTCGCTGTGGTTTGTTGAAATTAGGTGGTGGGAGGAGGAATGCTTTGGAAGGTTTTAATTTTGAATTTTGTGTGTGTTCTTTTTTCTTTTTCCTTTTATAGTAGTATAGTAGTAGTAGCTTAATAAAGTTTTTCCCTTGTTATTAAGCTTGGGCCTGCTTTTGCTCTGTTCTCGATCGCATTTCGCAGCATTCAATTGAGCTGTTGCATTTTCATGGGGACACTGGCATTGTGCCAGTGTCAAATCATGACAGGCTGACTAGTCAGGTTGGTGTCTGAGAAGGGGAAGGTGTCTGGGTTCCAGCAGCACTCCCAGGGCTGCTGCTCTTGGGTGTGATGCAGAACACAGCAATATTCCTGCTGTGCAGATGTGGAAGGGAGTGGAACAGCAAGTGGCAAAACTGGGCTTTGCTTCTTAAATCCCAGAACAGCTGGGTTTAAGTTCCATCAGCCAGAGGAGGGAATGAGCCCTGGTGCCAGCCCTCCTGGGGGCACTGGACAGGTCTCACCATTTCTCTGCCATCATTTGCATGGTGTGATTCTCCCTTGATCAGAGAGGGCAGAAAATGAGGCAGGAGGGGGAGCTCATTTTGTTTCTGCGAACTCCAGGCTTGGGGCAGCTGCAGAGCACTTTGGGTTCAAATAATCCTGCCCAAATACATCAGCTTGGACCTCTCTTGGGCACTTTTGTATCCCTCTGTGCCACTCCTCCTCTGATCTTTTACCTGCGAGGTGTGGGCTCAGAAACATCTGCCTACTGGACAGGTTTTTACATGTACAAATTTATTTTCTTAGAAAAGACATCAGCTGTAAGGAAAATCCATGGAAAACAGGTGATTGGTACACTAGGTGATGGTAGGTCTTGGGCTTTTCTTCTTTTTTTCTTTAACCTGTTCTTAAGAGAACCCCTAAACTGGAAAACTGGAAGTTTGTGGGTGGGGGGGAAGTTGCTTTTCATTTTTTAAGTATTGCTGTAGGTTTTGGTAGGTCAAGTGGCCCTACCAAAACAGAATTGGAATAATTGAACTTCAGGACTCTGCACTTAATTCTTTTAATGTTGTTTGTGTGGGTGCAGGAAATGCCAAATCCCAGAGCAATTCTGTGTCTGTAACATTAAGTGCAACATCTTTAAAACCAAGTGCTCAGTATGGGCTTTTCACGTGGATGCAAAAGGTCTAAAAGCCTTTCCTGTGCCCTGAAAGCCAAAAGGAGCCTGCCAGAAACAGGCCTTCATTGCCTGTCCGGGATTTCAATTTGCTGCTGGAGTCTTCTCTCGGGTTTTTGTGCCAAAGGGGATCTGGCCCCGGAGCGATAGAGGGTGTCTGTTGCCTTGATAAGTGTCAATGAAATTTGCCAAGTCTGTCAGGAAAGCAGAAACATCCTGGGGTTTGTTTGCCGAAAGTGGAACATGAAGATGTCCATACTAGTGGTGGGTGTGGGTGCTGGCAGTTTTGGGTTGTGCGGTGCCTCTGGTCCCTCAGAAGTCAGGGTACGGCTGAAGCAAGGAGGGAAGCTGCAGGTGAGGGCAATATTGGCTGTTTCTTGGTCCAGAACTGTGAGTGCTGGAAGAACAGCTTTCCTCCTTCTTTCTCTCCACCACTGAGCAGAACATTAAGATGGTGCTGCACTAAGCTCTCTCTTTTGTGGGTTGTTGTTTGGTTGGTTTTTTTTTTTTCTGTCTTTTTAATGTATTTCTAAGTGGTGCAGTGAGAAGCAAGTTGCTGGGTTGCATGACTTCTTGTGGAGTTGTGTTTTTAGGTTCCACTGTATGTATTTTCAAAATGGTTTATCCCTCTGTACCCGCCCTTGTGCTCTTGGTTCATCCCAGGTTTTCCCGTCAGTACCTGTGTGTCCCATCAATCCCAAAAACCCTGACTCATGCCCCTGACCCCTCCCGGGTGACTGGACAATGGCCTGGGGCCCTCCCCTCCTCCCTCCTAAGTGGATACCCCAGTTGTCCTTCCCTCGCAGGGCCACTCCCACGTCTTCTCCCACTGGCTGATTGGGTTTCCCACCCTCCCTATATCAAGGCCTGTTCAAGGCTCAGGGCTCACTCTCTTCTGTTGGATCTATTCGAGAACACTTGGACCCCGGAGCTCTCTTTGGAGTCCCAATAAATCTTGGACCTATCCCCAGAAGAGTGTCACCTCCGTCCTTGCCGGTGGGATGGGCGGTGTCCTTGGACCCACGAAGGCACTCTTTAAAACCCTGCTGGTCTCAGCACAGAGTGCCTCCCATGCCCTATCGCCCCGTGGAGCTAGCCGGGGCTGGCGAGAGATCTGCTCTTGCGAAGTGGGGACAAGACACGGCAACTTCTGGCTGACATATCACAGAAAGGGGCATACGTGTGTGCACGTGCTTCCTGGCAAATCCAGGTGTGACGTGGAAATCCTAAGTGAGGATTTCCAGCCTTGGCTACATATGACACAGGCTTCTGAAAATGGAAATGGCCTTGGCAGAATAGCAGCTGTGAAGCAAAGCAGAATTAAAATGCATGTGAGCAGAAGAACCAAGTGAAATGGTACTTCTGGGTCCTGTGTGCTCCTCTGGCCTCTGCCTGCTGTGAACACTTTGTGTTGCAGCTCAATGTAGTCCAGTTCAGTGTTTGTTTGGTTTGATTTTTGTGTGTAACAAAAACACCGGTCAGTTACTCTAAACAGCTCCCCTCCTTTACTAGACACATCCCTGGTGTGGGACCAGACTCCCCCTCACCCTGGAGGAATTCCCTGCTCCTCTGGAGAGGGGGTGAAGCCAAAGCTTAGGAGCAAAGGAAAACAGCCGAACCAGGGGCATTCTATAATATATCCAAATAAGGGACTCTGTCTTCCTGCTTTTCCTGTAGTTCTTCTTCCTGTTTTCACCTGGGCTGGAAGGATGGGCATGGCCTGTATTTATCACGACGTGAAAGTGGTATTACTAAATTTGTCCAGAAGTCCTGATTATAGACACTCATTTTCTGCCAGAAAACAGTTTAATTTCATTCATTTCACCCAGGATGGCTGTCTGTGGTCTCAGACAGTGTTCCCTAGGAGGAAGGGCAGCCTTTGCCTCGCCTGTGCAGCTCAGGTGGATGTGACAGAACTGGTGTGGCCTGACAAGGCATGAGCAGATGTCTGTGCTCTGGAGTGCCTTGAAACTTTTCTCTGTGAGGTTTTGGACAGGTTTCTATTTGGCTTTTCTTATGACACAGCAACTCAGGTGTCCCTTTCTTTGTATAAAGTCTAATGGTAAAGGATTGAATGACTGACAAGTGGGGCCTGGGATAAAAATGGTTCTGTTAAGATTAGGTTAAGATTGCAATAAGAAAAATTAGCTTCCTTTTAATGTCTGAAATAGTTAGGAATAAAAATGCTGTGAAGGGGCACTTTTATATTTTAATTGGTGTCACCTCTCATGGATAAAATCCCATAGCGAACAATCACAGCAGAAATGTGAAAGCCGGGATCCTTTGACTTCCACAGTGGACTTAATGTTCTTTTCCTCCTCTCTTTCAGGACAGGAAAAATCGTTAAACTCCTCCCATCTTTGCCAGAAGCTTCGGTGTTTAAGCAGCCAAAGCCAAGAGTCTTCAGCACCAGGGCTCTGTGTTACTATTGGACATGAAATGAGTACACAGAAGCTTGGTAAGTTTAAAAGAGAAAAAAGAGAAAGTTTTATTTGAATATCTGGTATTTATAGAATTCTAAAGGTGACCATGGATTGGAGGATGGAATTACCACCTCTCCAACCACACTGGTCCAAAGATCAATCATTTCTCTCCACTCACAGAGAAATATGTAAACTATTCTATTTATACATGAAATTGAGTGGGAACTCTTGACTCTCAAATATGTAAACATTATCAGAAAGCTAAAGAAGTTTTATGGGAACTTTAAAACTTTCAAAAGAACTATAAACAAAACTTAGCACTTTTAAAAATCAGGGCAACAGGTCTGCGCTGGAGGGCTCCTGGTCCTGCCCACGCTGTGGGGTAAGTCAGAGGAATGCAGGGTTCCTCTTTTCCTCTCTGCTGGGATTAACTGCCTAGGGAATGCCATTTCTGATAGCCCAGCCCTACCCCTGTGTGCTGGGAAAGGGCAGCAGGGAAGAGGCAAATGCCAGAGTTCCTTGGGGATGATGGGGTTGTGGTGTTTGGCTGTGCCCAGAGGGGCAGGCTGGGCATTGTTGGTGTACCCAAGGATTGGTCTGGGTCTCGGGAGCCTGGGGAGCCGAGCTCTCGGTGCATTCCCAGCTCTGCCAGCTGCTGCAGGGCTGGGTGACAGCCTCTGCTGGGGCTGGGGCAGGAACTGCAGGGGAGGGCTGGGAGGATTTGGGAGCAGTGGGAGGAAAATGAGGAATGGTGCTGGGCAGTGCTCAGCCTGTGCTGGTGTCAGCGCAGCCGTGCAGGGCACCGGGATCTGGGTACAGCTCCAGCTCTCCTGGGGTTCAGGGGTGCAGGGTCGGAGAGACTGGGTTTATCTGTGGCTTTCCAGGCCAGCAGGAACAAGGGGGAATGTGGTGCCAGAGCTGTGTTCCGTCGGGCTGCGCTTCCCTCTGAGGACAGAGTCTGGGCTGAGGTGAGATTGCTGTGAGTGCCTGCATGAGCAATCCAGGGAACTCGGAATTGCATCCGCTGCTGGGAACACTGCCTGAGGTCTGCTCAGTTTGTGTCTGTGAGGAGTGGGATTTGGGCTGCAGAGGTGCTGTTGGCACAAAAACCAGAGTAAATCCTCTCCCGGGATGAGCAGTGAAGGACAGTGTAGCAGGGAAGGGGAGTATTTACAAAGTATGTCAATATTTCTCCCAAAACTGAGAGAAATGGGGTGGAACAGAGATGGGGGTGGTTTGGTTTTTTTGTCTGGGCCTGTTATTCCTTGTGCAAGGTTTTAAATCTGTTGTATGATTTACTCTCCAGTATCTTTCTAACAAAAGATGACTGAAATTTAGGTTCAGGGTCAGAAGTTGGGTCCATTCACTGCAAAGTCTTGCCAAGGCTGGAGGACTGGGGTGATGGCTGCTCTCAGCAAAGGTTACTTTACTAATACTGTGTCAGATTTCCCTCAGTGCTGGGCAGGAAAGGTGAGGGTTTGGATCAGGAATTCTGCGAACAAGGCCTGTGTGATGGTTGGTTTATTGTGTTTTTCAGTGAGCCAGGGCTGGCACAAGGACTTGTGCAGGTACTGCTCTGGCATGGGAGCTGTTGCCCTGTAGAGCCATTTTAAAGGTGTGATTATGGAACATTTTGGAGGCTGTTTCTGGAATTCCATTTGTAGCTGGATCTCGCTCTGAGTGCAGCAGTCCAGGTGAGGGTTCTGACCTCTCCAGACTTGTGCTCACCTTGGTGCAGCCTGGGGCTGGAGCAGGTTTTCCAAGGAAGTGGAGATCGCTGAGGACTGGTGCTCTGGAAAGCAGGGACCTGCTGGGATTTGCTTTTGCAAAGCTGACATGAAGTTTGTAAAACCAACACAAAATTCTAATTCCTGTGGTTTTTGGGGAGGAGGTGCAGGTCACCCTGAGAGATAAATCAGAACTCGTTTGTGATGAGGAGTCTGAGGTCTGCAATCCCACATCTGGTATGACCTGAGTGCTAAAATGCAGTCCCAGCCCCAGAGGGAGGCTGATGGGCTCTGCTCATTGCTGTCCTCAGCCCGCTGCTCACCCCGTGGATCTGCTCTGGTTTTAGGCTGTCTGTCCTGGAGCGCCCTGCAGGGACCGAGGCCTGAGAGGCCCCAGGGCCCCTAACCCGACACAGAGAGAGCCCTGCTGGCCAAAGTTATCTTTTTTTATTTTTTTATCACTGTGCTGCTAGCAATGGAGGGATGGGACTGCTCGTGGGCTGGGAGCGATTCGGTGCTGAGATAAACACCAGCCTCAAGGCTGTGAGGGTTTAAAGAGTGAGCAGCTGGCTGTGGCTCAGGAGCAGTCACAAGTTCTTTGTTCCAAGGCAGGACAGAACTTTCTCACCCCAGGGGCATCTGCCACAGAGTTTATTTTGCTTTTCTAACCCATCACCTTTACTCAGTTCTGCTGCACTGAGGGTACTTTTGTTCAATGGCTTCTGTGAGAACGTGTAAACTCTCAGTTTACCCCACACAACCGCGCCCCTACACTACAAACCCTTCACCATCGTACCCACACAGTTTCTCTCTCACTCACTCAGGGCATACTCTTAATTACAGCCACAAAAACAGAAGTTATTTTATTCTTTTTCTGCTTAATATCCGTGTCTTGTATTTGTACATCAATCCCAGCTTCTCCCAAGGAGGCAGATCAAATCTTTCAGTGTCTGTGGGAGTTTCTGGTTTTCCGATTCCCACTTCTCCCCTCTTTCTGTATTAAAACCAATTTTTATTAATGGATTTGTTAAGCATTTGTTACATATATTAAGATAAATAAGGTGTTATCATTAGTAGTAGTATTATTATAATAATTAAAATGTATAATTCTAAGATTTTTAAGTTGTTAAATTTTATTTATTAAATAAATTGTCAATTAAGTTTTATTATTTATTCTTATTTTTGCTATTTCTTACAGTTGTACATTTTTATAAATAGATTTTGAGTGACTAGATAAATGTATACATTGCATTAAAATTTTTATATTTATGTATGTGTGTTAATAAAAGAAAATTTATTGTGTTTTGTAAAACTGCATGTTTAATATTTTTGATATTTGTTAAAAAGTCATTTAATGTAAGGGATGTAGTATTAGATTGTTTATTTAGATAATATTTTAAATTATTTAGTTGTTTTAGTGTTGTTGAAGTAATAGGTGGTATAAAAAGTGATGCTACAATTTTTTTAAGTTTCAAGGCTTAAAATTACTTTTATATTTTGATTACTATTGATGGATAAATGATCTTTTTGTTTTAAAATGGTAGTTATTTTTATATTAAGAGTTAATAATGTAAGGGTTTTTAAATTATATTAATTATTTGTAATGTTTTTTATTGGTATATTAAGTAAGTAAAGAATGGATTTTTTTTTTTGAGTAATGACAGAAAAATACAACATATTTAAACTTGAAACTTTAGTTAAAGTTAATTAAATATTTGTTTTAGGTTGGTTTATTGGTAAAGAGATATAATTAAAAGTAAATAAAGTAAATAGAGTAAAATTATAATATTTGATAGAATTTTATAATTTTAAAGTTATTAAATAGTAAGATTTTTATAATGTTGATTTTTATATTTATAAAGAAATTTAAAGTTTATAGGTTTTTGTGGGTGTAAAAGTTGGAATTCCTGTGTAATTTAAGTTTGTGGAATTTACATTTGTATTTACATTGTGTAATTTATGTTTGTATTTACATTGGGTTTTTTTACTTGTGGAGTGGTGAGTATGTTTTTTATGTGATATTATTTTATATTTCTTATTGAAATTGACTTGTGTTTTTGTACTTGTTGAGATATAAGTAAACTTTATGTTTTGATATGAGAAATAAAGTATTGTTAAGTTTTGTTTTATAAAATTGCATAGAGATTTGCAAGATAATGAATAAGTTGTTATTATATTTTTTTAGTTAGAAGTATGAAGAAATATAAGAGTAAAAGTGTATGTAGTAAATAAGAAATTGATAATAATTAGGAATTATTTAGATAATAGCTATAATTAGTAACATATCTGAAATTATATAATTAGTAAGTATTAAAATATTGTACATTATTTTAGAGTTTATAACAGTTGATAAATGTTTCGTTAGCGGAAGGTTGGATAATTATGTTTGGATAACGATTTTTTAAAGTTTATTTTAAAAATAAGCTTATTTGTTATATTGATAAAGTTGAATTGTTATGTCAAAATTATTTTAATTTTATTTTTTATGTAGAAAGTATGTGGGTTTGTTGTTTATTTTATTTAGGTAGAGTTAGGGTTTGGTTATAGTTTAAATTTTAATTGGTGGATGTTCCTGAATATATTTTTATATAATGTTTTTTAAAATAGTAGTTAAGATAGTAAAGTAAAAATTTTAGGATTAAAGATTAATTACATTATTTAATAATTGGATTTTTAGAAGTTGTTTTTGAATAGAGATCTTTTGAATATGATAAACTTTTTTTTTTAAGAATTGAAAGTGGTTTTAGACAGGACTGTGAATTTGGATTTGGATATTGAGAGTGTGAAGGTGAAGGAAATGTGTGAGAGATTGGTTACTTACTGTGAAACTTAAAAAAAGAAATTAATGTTGTAGTTGGATTTTTATTTAGGTGTTTTTGTAATAATAACTGAGGAAAGTGATAAGATTAACAGTTTGGAGGAGGTTTTAATGAAGTTTCATTTTTCTTTTTTTTTAATTTTGAAAAATAGTTAAAATTATGAGATAACATTAGGTTAAATTACAGTTAGTGTAGAGATTAGTTAGAGAGTTAACTTGGTTTCAGAGATGTATAAATAGAGAATAAAAAAGTAGGATTTAGAAATTTTATGTGGTTTTTTAGATAATTATATAAAGACATGATAAAGTATATGAAAGTTGGTTGTAAATATTATAATAATATTTTATAAATAATGTTTATTATAGAAATTAATATATTTGCATTATATAATTAGTACATTAGTAGTAAGTGTTTGAAGAAGTTAGGATAACTTAAATATTTATATATTAAGGATATAGAGTAAAAATTGTAAAATAGTATGATATTAATAGTAATTACTATTTTTGGTGTTATTTATAAAAGATAAAAATAGTGGACATTGTGATGAAGAACAGAATTTTTGATGAAATTGATTATATAAAAAACTGTATTTTTTTACTTCTGAATAGGTGTTTGTTAGTGTTTTATTTTAGTTGTTTTAATTGGAGTTGTTTTAATTTTTTCAAGAAAATTAACCATATACTTTATAGTTTAGAGAAATTATTTTTAATAAAATTTAGGAGAAGTTATATTAAATAACATTTACATTTAGACTGAATGAATTTTGATAGTAAGGAATAATAAACTTAATTTTAATATAATATTAAAATGATAAAATGAAATTTAAGAATATTTAGACTTAAATGTATTGAAATTTAATTTTGTTTGATTTTAGTAATACTTAACTTATTGGAGGTTATTTATAAATATTTAAGATTTTTTAAGTCTTTTAGTTTTGTAAAAATTTTAGATTGTTGTGTTATGATTATTACTTTTATCTTTTATTTATTGGGAGATACGTTTCTTAGTAAAAGAGTTTTATTTATATTACATTTTAAATTGTACTAATTTGTATAGTTTTTTTTTTTTTAATGTAGGATATTGATTAGACTGTTTTATGTTTTTTGTGGGCTTTGACACAGATTTATTTATATGGTTAGGCTTTTCTATATTTGAAGTATGTTTTGATGTTTTTTGTTATGTGTTTAAGAGTTTTTGATTTAGAATTTGAAGAGTGTTTGGAGGAAATAAATTTCAGGGTTTTTTTTGATATGGTTGAGTTGTATTTTTAATGTTAGTAAGGACTACTTTTGGTAGGTTATTTTGATTTTGTGTTTGGTTATGGGGAGGGTCTCGTTAGATGTGTAAGAGTGAGATTGGCATTAGGGCTTTTTGTCTAATGAGTCTAATATCACTAATGTCTAATTTGTCTAATGAGTCTGTTAGGGAGGAGGTGTTATTTTAAGTCTTATAAAATACACTGAGAATTAGTTAAAATCATGGAAGAAACATTATGGTAATTAAAGGGTGTTATGTTTCTTTCATTTGTAAGTTTCAGTTATAAATATTTTTAATAACTGCTTGACATAAGGTGAGCTTAATCTACTTTTTCTGCCCCCAGAAATCATCACGCACATTGGCATCAATGGCATGATCTCTCCCCAGTGCTCATGTTTCACCCAACCAAAATCAACAACAAAAGTTGGTTGGGCTTTAAGAGCTTGAAATAACTTTGAAGCAAAATAAATCACATTTTTCTCCTGTGGTTTTTTCCTTTCAGATGCTGTACTTAGCTCGGCAGACAGGCGCTGAGGAACCTGTCACTGCAGGAACCTGTCAGGCCTCGTGAGTTCATATTCTTCCCACTGGTGAATTGGAAATAATTGTTGATTAATTGCAGAAAGGTTTTCTGGATCCTTTCCCCTCTTGTGCCCCACAGCGGCCTCGGGCTGGAAAGGAGCAGGAGAAAGCCAAAGGGACCTCCCTGGTGTCACCAGGGCACTGTGGGGAAGAGAATGGACACTGTGTGGGCAAGGGGAGGTGAGGAGTGACAGTCTGGGGCAAAATCTGAGTTTGTCTGCAGGGAAATAAGTAAGGGATATTTTGGAGGGGAAAGCTGAGGTTGTGAGTTCACCCAGCCTGGCCAAGTTGTGTTTGGACAAAGTGGCACCAGAGGTGAAGGTCAATCCAGAGCCAACCCTGCTCAACCTCTAAATCCCAGAATAAATTCTACAAGCTGTCCGTTGAGGGACTAAAAATACATAAAAACAGAACCAAGAGCATTCCAAGAGCAAACCAGAAGGTTCCTGGGAATCCCATTACAGTGTTGTCATAGGCTTTTTAACAGAGCTCTTAAGTTTTTTATTTACAATGCTGCGTTTCTCTGCTGGGATCATTCACTCCGTGGGCTGTGGGATTTTTTTGGGTTTGAACTCCCTCACGGTGGCCCTGGCACTGCTCAGGAGCTGGAGGAAAAGCAGAGTCAGCGCTCCTGGCAGGGGCAGGGAGTTTTCCCCCAGAGCAGATCCAGCAGCTGCCCACCAAAGCAGGAGGGATCTGCTTTGGCTCCTGGCTTCTGTAGAGAAAGAATGTGTTCAGCTGATTCAGGTGACATTCCAGCAGCCTCATCTCCCATCCATCCCGGCCAGGAGGGATCTGCTTTGGCTCCTGGCTCTTGCAGGGACAGAACGTGTTCAGCTGATCCAGGTGACATTCCAGTCGCCTCATCTCCCATCTGTGCTCCCACCCCTCCTGCTCTCAGCTCCCGCCCAGCCAACTGTGCCCAGGGGAATTTGTCCCACCAGCGGCAGGGGAAGGACATGGGCTCCCACCCTGACACTTGGATTGTCCCTCTGGAGGATGCTGGCTGCTGGGATTTAGATCATTCCATACATTTGGCTGCTGACATTTCCCAGTCCAGGGGCTTTAGCACAAAGATTGTTCTCTGTGTGGTGCCCAGATTTGAGGTTCAGTATCAGCTTTGCGAGGTCAGATGAATTATACCCACAGCCCCAAATTCCCTGCTGAATTCCTGCTGGAATAACCTGGCAGTGCCTCGTGGAGAGTGGAAATTCCCATGCAGAGCTGCCACTTTAACACCAGCTGTGCCAGGAACCAGCAGAGGTCCAGGGAAGCTCAGTGGGACAAGGACAGGTCTCTATTCTATAGAACTTGCTATTTAAAACCCTCATCCCCCAGCCCCAGGGATGTCTCTGGGGTCACTTGACAGAGTTCCCTGGAATTCAGCTGATTTCACCCCCTGGAACTCAGGCTCCAGCTGATATTTTAAAGCGGGACAAGGCGGTGGCTGGATGTGCTCCCAGCCTGTGCTGAGGCAGTACATCTCTCCTGCAGAAGCTCAGCTCCTTTCAGAGCCTCAGCAGTGGCCTCAGCATGTCCTTTTCCCTCAGGAAAGAGATGCACATCCCTGCCTTCAGCACACCTCCAGTGGGACCCACCTGTGAAAGTTTTCCATTGCTTCTGCACTTCCAGCTGGCTCCCTGAAAATTTCCAAATGTCATCCCACTCGAACCTCTGATTTTAAGGCATCTCTGAGGCCTATTGCTTGGGATTTAGTATCTGTGAGGGAAGATTGCCTTGGCTTAAATGCTGCTGGTGGATGATGGCCTCAGGCTGGAAAAGAGGGAAGAGATTTGGGGTGGCTGGTACATACCTGGCAGCTGTGTGGGAGCTCAGAAACAGGAATTGCTTTCAGAGCCCCTCTGCAAACGGCCGTGCCTCCATTCCCAGGTAATGCCAGCCGTTCCTTGGGGTCCTTCTGGGCTGTCGGTGGTGTCTGTCCGGGCTGAAGCATCCCTGCATGCCTGTTCAGAGCAGTCCCTGGCTGAGGAGCCACAGGCAGCCCTTTAGCCGTGTCTGTGCCCGCGCTGTCTGGTGCTCCAGTGCCCGTGCCGGGACGTGCGTTTGGCACACTGCGTGCCACGGGCAGGGCACGGCAGCTCCTGCCCTGCAGAGCCAAGGACAGGAGGTGGTCTCTGCCCTGCGGGGGCTCCGGGCTCCTCCAGCCCCGCACCGGGCACAGTCGGAGCGGGAGCAGCAGCCCCAGCGCTGCAACCCCGCCCGTTCGGCGGGGGTCCCGGGGGATGCGGACACGGGGAGGGGGAGGCAGGCGCTGCTGCTCGCAGGGGAGCGCGGTGGCCACGGGGCTACCGGGGCGGGGGGGCTCGGCATCCTGCGGGGGCTGCGGGGCGGCTCCGTGTCCTCCCGCGGGGCCGGAGGCGGCGCTGCGGGAGCGGTGGTGCCGATGGGGTCCCGGCACCGGCACAGCCCCGGCTCCCCGCGGCCACAGCGAGAACGGGACCCGATCCCCTGCGGGACCCGAGCCCCGGGCCGGCCGCAGCCGGAGCGGCAGCGCCCGTCCCAGAGCGGCTCTTCCTACCCAGCGCGATGCCGCGACCGACCTCAGCCCCGATCCCGCCTCGCACCTCCGGCCCTGCCACCCACACCCGCCCGCCGAGGAAGAAGCGGCTCTGCCCGGCTCCCACAGCAGGCACCGGCAGGACCGGGACCCAAATCCCCAGGCCCAGATCACGGTCCCGCCTAAGCGCCTCGGACGCCGTGCAGCGCCGGGAGCAGCCCCCGATCCGGATCTCTGCTCCGGCGGCCCGAGCGCCGGTCCCACCGCAGCCCGGGCCGAGCGTCCCCGCAGAGCGCGGGGCGGGCGCGGATCCGCCGCCATTTACGGGCGGGGGGGGGAGGGGGCGGGGCCAGCACAGGTGTGAGCACAGGTGTGTGCACAGGTGTGAGCACAGGTGTGAGCACAGGTGTGTGCATAGGTGTGTGCATAGGTGTGTGCACAGGTGTGAGCACAGGTGCGAGCACAGGTGTGTGCACAGGTGTGAGCACAGGTGCGAGCACAGGTGTGTGCACAGGTGTGAGCACAGGTGCGAGGACAGGTGTGTGCACAGGTGTGAGCACAGGTGTGAGCACAGGTGTGTGCACAGGTGTGAGCACAGGTGTGTGCACAGGTGCGAACAGGTGTGTGCACAGGTGTGTGTACAGGTGTGTGCACAGGTGCGAACAGGTGTGTGCACAGGTGTGTGCACAGGTGTGTGCACAGGTGCGAACAGGTGTGTGCACAGGTGCGAGCACAGGTGTGTGCACAGGTGTGCACAGGTGCGAGCACAGGTGCGAGCACAGGTGCGAGCACAGGTGTGTGCACAGGTGTGCACAGGTGTGAGCACAGGTGCGAGCACAGGTGTGTGCACAGGTGTGCTCACAGGTGTGCACAGGTGTGTGCACAGGTGTGTGCACAGGTGCGAGCACAGGTGCGAGCACAGGTGTGTGCATAGGTGCGTGCACAGGTGTGCACAGGTGTGTGCACAGGTGCGAGCACAGGTGTGTGCATAGGTGTGTGCACAGGTGTGTGCACAGGTGCGAACAGGTGTGTGCACAGGTGTGTGCACAGGTGTGTGCACAGGTGCGAGCACAGGTGTGTGCACAGGTGTGTGCACAGGTACGAGCACAGGTGTGTGCACAGGTGTGTGCACAGGTGCGAGCACAGGTGTGTGCACAGGTGTGTGCACAGGTGCGAGCACAGGTGTGTGCACAGGTGTGTGCACAGGTGCAAGCACAGGTGTGAGCACAGGTGTGTGCACAGGTGTGAGCACAGGTGTGCACAGGTGTGTGCATAGGTGTGTGCACAGGTGTGTGCACAGGTGTGTGCATAGGTGTGTGCACAGGTGTGTGCACAAGTGTGTGCATAGGTGTGTGCATAGGTGCGTGCACAGGTGTGTGCACAGGTGCGAGCACAGGTGTGTGCACAGGTGTGCTCACAGGTGTGCACAGGTGTGTGCATAGGTGTGTGCACAGGTGTGCACAGGTGTGCACAGGTGTGTGCACAGGTGTGCTCACAGGTGTGTGCACAGGTGTGCACAGGTGTGCACAGGTGTGTGCACAGGTGCGAGCACAGGTGTGTGCACAGGTGTGCACAGGTGTGTGCACAGGTGTGCTCACAGGTGTGTGCACAGGTGTGTGCACAGGTGTGAGCACAGGTGTGCACAGGTGTGTGCACAGGTGTATGCACAGGTGTGAGCACAGGTGCGAACAGGTGTGAGCACAGGTGTGAGCACAGGTGTGAGCACAGGTGTGCACAGGTGTGCACAGGTGTGTGCACAGGTGTGTGCATAGGTGTGTGCACAGGTGAGAGCACAGGTGTGAGCACAGGTGTGTGCACAGGTGTGCTCACAGGTGTGAGCACAGGTGTGAGCACAGGTGTGTGCACAGGTGTGTGCATAGGTGCGTGCACAGGTGTGCACAGGTGTGTGCACAGGTGTGCGCACAGGTGTGCGCACAGGTGTGCGCACAGGTGTGAGCACAGGTGTGTGCACAGGTGTGTGCACAGGTGTGTGCACAGGTGCGAGCACAGGTGTGTGTACAGGTGTCTGCACAGGTGTGTGCATAGGTGTGTGCACAGGTGCGAGCACAGGTGTGTGTACAGGTGTGTGCACAGGTGTGAACACAGCGATGTGCACAGGGGTGTGCACAGGGGTGTGCACAGGTGCGCGAGGCCCCCCTCTTTTTCTCTCTGTTGCTTTTCTTTTGTGCTTCTTTTTCTCCATACCTCTCTTATTCACCCTCCCTTCCTTCCCCCCCTCACAAACCTCCCCACCCCCCTCTCCCCTTTAGCCCTCCCGGGCGGTCCACCCCTACACCCCCTTCCCTATTCTCCCTCTCTATTCCCCTACTCACCCCAACCCTACCCTATCCCTCCATCCTGTTCCTCTTCCTTCTCTCCCCAGCCGGCTTCCCCGTGCCCCCTCTCCCTGCTCGTCTCCCCTCCCCTCCCCGGTTCCTCCTGCTGCCTTTCCATGATACCTTCCACCCTCCACACCTTCCTCCTCCTTCCCCAAACCTGCCTTCGATCCTTCTTTCCTCCACCCTGCCCTGCACACCCTGACCTCTCCCCACCTGCCCCCTGTCCTTGTCCCCTTCCCCTCGACTGCCGCTCTGCTCCCCTGTTCTCGTTCCCCATTCCCTGCTCTCCTTCTTTCCCCGCAGCCACGGGACTCGGGGCGCCGAGAATAAAGCCTAGAGGGCCGGAGCCCGGCGCCCCCCACCCTCGCTGGGGTCCCCAGACAGGGCCGGACCCGCTCTGCGGGTCCCCCCATTCCGGTCCAACACATCGCCCGACACTGCCGGGGCTCCGGCTTTCCCGACATCAGACTGGGAGTAACGTAAGTGTCCGGCAAGAAGCGAGGATTGCATTTTCAGGGCTTCTCCTACGTCTCTGCCATACATTAACACTCATTGCCATGAGATGTTTTCAGTCCCAAGGCAGTCCTTGGGTTGCGGGACCCCAGAGTGATTGGCACAGGCACCAGTTTTGCAATTCTCTTTCTGAGGGCGCTGCAGTGCTGTGAAGCAAAGTAGTGGGTCAGAGTTCTGAGCTGGCTTAAAAGGCACCACTGACATGGCTAACAGAACAAACTCCTCGGAGTATTTCTGGTCTTGTGAATATTACTGGAATTACAAAGATCCGATCCCAGTAGACGGAAGCAAGTTGAAGGTTAATAAATGTAAGTATTGTGGAGTAGTAGGTGCTAATCTTGCACAGGGAAAATGTTGCCTACCTTGTCTCACTGACCTGGTTTTGTTTCCTTGCAATAGAGTCCATGCCAGTGCCTGGTTTGTGTGAATGGGTGTTTGCCTTCAGGCTGGAAAATTTCTAACAAACACTCTGGGCTTTATCTTGCAGTATTTGAAGCTGTAAGACTGCTGACACTAATTCTTGTTTACAAGGACAGATTTTTTTTGAGTCATTTGCTAATGACTTGCAAATATGTAGTGTGGGGTGCTAGTTACCTGTGTACTGCTGTCACCAAAGTTCACTGAAAGAGCAGAGGTTTTCATAAAAATACTGTGTTTTCATCTTGGGCCAAGGCTGACATTGCAACTGGTAAACATTCAGACTTTTAGTAAAGGATATGTGTATTTCCATTAGCCAGGAACAATAAGCTGCAAACATATTCTTTGACTTTCCTCTTTTGATTTAGTGCTGCTGAACTAATAAAGTGATAGTGTCCATTATTGTGCAAATGCTTTGCTGCTGTGGAGACTGATTCTGCTGAGCTTTGCAGTTTATTTCCAAGGGATATGAAGTAGCATTCACCCATCTCGCCTTGCCATAGCTCGTTCCATTTCACACCTTGCTTTGCACAGTGAAATAGCAGTGTCTTTTTATGGCTACTTGTAGTGTCAAATGATTTTGGTATTTCTAATGTAACTGCACTGGTTAGGTTTTGCTAAGATAAAATGACAAGCTGCATCCCAGCGGATTAACCGAGGGTGATGGGTGGAGTGACAAAGACCAGGGGAGAACAGGCAGGGTGTGTTGGAGTCACTTGGGCTGCAGGCAGTGCTTTCCCTTGATTTCTGTCAAGCCTCTGCCCGTGGTTGTATCTTCAGTTCATTAACAAAGTTACAGGCTTTACTCATTGCTTTTTAGTTTACTGAAGATGGCTGCAACTGTTCAGATGTGCACTCAGAGACTAACATGGTTTTTCCCAAGGTTATCACAGTGAAATTATTATATATTCCAGGAAAATGTGATGGCCTTTCAGAATATCTTCATGTCTCTCTCACTAACAATGCAAGAAACTGGCTTTCTGATGGTGAAGGTTGAATTCTGTGGTAGGAGCTGCTTGTCCTTCACTTGCTTGGACAGCAGTAGGAAAAAAAGAGCAGAAACTTACTCTGCTCCACCTCTAGAAAAGTTTTCTGTGCATTCAGATCAGCTGAGGGTTTATTGCCTCCAAACTTGGAGCACTTAAAGAAAGTGGTGTGATTATTCACATCCTTCCCTACAGAAAATCTTGCTCTCTAATGTTGTAGAGCAACATTTGGTGCTGCCTGGACCAGGCAAATTTTAAGCAGCTCCTCTGATTCTCTCAATTTTAAAGTTAGGACAGATTATTACCCCCAAATTCCAGTGGGGAAACCCCAAACTGCTAAGCTAAGCTAGATGTAAATCTCTGGCATGTGGCTGGCAGAGCAAAACCCAAAAATCAGGAATAAACCTTTCCCATTTTCTCCTTAATAACATTTTTCTACCATTTGGATCACCTGGTGCATAAACAGAGGCAGTATTTGTGTTGTGGCACTTCCCTCCCTGGCAATTGATAGGGTATTTTTCTTCAGCTGCCTGTTTTCTTGAAATTTGTAGAAACTGTGCTTCTGAGACAAGATGCTCGCCCTCCGTTAAATTTAATTTTAATTTGTTGACGGTTTTGTGGAGGAAATTACCCCATATGTGCCTAAGAGTGATCTCCTCAGCCTTATTTCCATTAAAAAGCGGGGTAAACTGATCTCATATTGACTTTTTAGTCCCACTTGTTCTGACACCACCCCACCCCCCCCCCACCAAAGAAGTAGAGAAGTCTGCCACCATTCAGGCATTTTTATACTCCAAGAAGATGAAAATAGACATTTTCAAAACCTCCCTGGGCAAAGGAAGAATAAAATAAGCTGCCATCCCTGTTGGGAAGGGTAGATAAATATGATTAAGAACCACAATAATACAGCCAGGATGAATATAACGCCCCCTACTGGCTGGACAATAACCCTCACCTACAGAGGGGTCCAAAAGCCAAATGGACTGTTCCATCTCACCCCCAGAATGTATGGTTCACCCCACATCTGTAACCCTCCCCTGAACCATCAGGTGTCTATGAACCCATTGGCCCAAGTCTTGTTCCAGCCCACCCTGGAGCCCCCTTTGATAAAGGCTCTCCGGGGGGCTGGACGTTCTCTTGGATCTTCCCTTCTCCTCCTGGAGAGTCCTCCGGGAGTCCCTGCTCCCCGCTTTGTCTCTCCCCTCCCCATCACCTCAGGCCCAGCGTGCTGTGTCTGGCAGCTCGAGGCAGGGCCACAATGCATCCTGAATAAACCTCATCCCCCAAGAGCAACCAAAGAGATCTCGCTTGAATCTGTCCGTGGAATACAAATCTACGTCTTTACAATCCCCACTGATATTTTTCAGTAGCCCAGCTTAAACTCCTGTTTCTGATAAGGGTACAGCTGGGCCAGCTGTAGTTTTGGGTTTAAAAGGAGCTGGGCTCATTTTATTAATCTCTTTGTGGTTTTGATGCCAAAACATACTGAACTTTTTCACAAAGAAGCACTCAATCAAACATACTGAACTTGTTTCAAAGAACACAATGTTTTCTGTACTTTCTGAGGGAAGATTTATTTTATCTTGGTCAGTATTTGTCTCTGGAGCAAGTGAATCTTCTTTTTCCACCTCATCTGCAGTGAGCCACCGGCTGTGAATCCAGGGCAGAGCACCCAAACTTCCCAAGGCCACCACCAGCACCACAGTGACCCCAGGAAAGAGCGTTTTTGAAACGGTGGCCAAAGGTGCTGTGGGGGTGGGAGCGGATCCGTCCCCTCCCTCAGTGAGCCCAAGGCTCAGGCAATAAAACTGGCACAGCACTGAAGCCTCCATGAAAGAGCAGCTCCCTTTGCTCCCCCAGCCACCTCACACTCCCACTAAACAGGCTGTGGACACACTTAGGCACCGCCCTCTTCCTGAAATAAACCATGTGCTCCTGGCAAAGCAGGCAGCAGCTTGCCCTCTTCCATGGTGGCTGCAGGGGCACTTCAGCTGAACAGGGCAAGGGGCACATTCTCTTCCACTGCACTGATGTGCTGGGAGGGTCACAGGCACTTTGCAACAAACTCCCCTCGCTATTCCTCTTGGTATAAACTGCTCTCAAGGCTGGAATTCCTTTCCTGAGGGCCTCTCCTCAAAAGATCCTGCAGGATTAGGCAGTAACCACTCAGGCTTCCTGCACAGTGGTTGTGTAAAAGGAGCCACGTTCTAATATCTGCACAGGCCCAGTCACCAGAACACTCTCTGGAGGCTTTCCCCAGCCCCTCCCTCGTCCCTGCTGCCATACCCTGTTAGGAGGCTCCCAAGACCTTTAACAAATTGGCACTTGGAGTCCTCTCTCTGAAAGGAGAAACGTAATGGATCAAACGGCACACCTTTACTAGAGATGATAAACCATCTTGCTGTGCTTTATTTGTGCCATGCAGAATGCACGTGACAGAATTACACTGCTGTGCCCACAGACTCCATCGTCATTGCCTTTTGGGTCGGCCTTGCTGCGTTCGTGACATTTCTTTTCCTTATTTTGCTGTGTATGTCCTGCTCCGGATCAACGCCAGCAAAGTAAGTATAACCAGAGATGAAGTAAGTAGATACTGGTGTGAAAAAATAACCTGTAGGAAACATTCACTACCTCCAGTGACCCAGCAATGACACATAACGTTTATAACTGCACAGAGGGGAAACTTCTTCTGTCAGTATTTGGTCAGAGTGTCTCTTGACCCACTGCTCCTCCTTATCTGATCAGAAAATTCAGCTCAGCAGGTTGGGCAGACATTCAGGATTAGGTCACAAACAAGCAGAGGGAAACAGCAGTCAAAGGGAGCACTAATATTCTCATTTATTGGCACCCTAGGGCTTTTGGCACGCTCATAAAAGGTAACAAAAACAATTTTAAAAGGCAGTTTACCCCCCAAATAAACCACAAAGCAGGAGTTGGACTAACAACACAACAGACATGGAAATGGATGTGAAATTGCAGGGCAACAGAGGCATGTTACCAAAAAGTTTCTGTTCCTAAAAAACTGGCAGGAGAAGTCTGTGTACTTGAAAATCTCGGAGTACTTGCAAGACTTAAACAAAGTATTCATTTTTAAAGCTTTTTTTATTTTTTCATCATGTTACTGAGCAAAATACTTGGCTTAAAAATACACATATTTATCCCTCATGTATTCAATTTTGGCCATCAAAGGGGCCATTGTGAACAAGGCAAGTCTAGAAATGTTTACTGTGAGAAAACAATTTTACAATTGAAAACAATTTCACTCAATACTGTAAGAAAACAATTTTAGGACTGAAGAAACTATTAAACCCAGTCACACACAAATCTTGTCCTTTTTGGTTGAGTTCTGTTTGTTTTGTAAGCCCCACTTCAATTCGACTTCTCCCAATTCCAGCACCGAAACCCAGTGGAGCGCTTGAAAGGAGCCACTAGTGTAAACTTGCACCCTCTTCCCTGTCATCCTCTCTGTTGTGTCCCCCACCCACTGCCCTTGGCATGACCATCATCCAATATCTCTGTGGAAACCTCACATCTCTTTTCTTATGATAATCCCAATACAATCACCCAACAAACGCATGCTCATGTCCCGGTAGGGGCTGGAGAACTTTTACCTTCATTGTTTCTCTGCTCATCCATCTCTGTCAAGCCCAGGGACATGCAGGACTTCCTGTGCTCTCCCAGCTCACCCATGGCCTGGTGAGAGGAGGCAGCTTCTCTGGGCACCCTGTGCCAGGACCTGTCCACTCTCACAGCCAGGAATTCCTTCCCAATATCCCATCCAGCCCTGCCCTCTGGCAGTGGGAGCCATTCCCTGTGTCCTGTCCCTCCATGCCTTGTCCCCAGTCCCTCTCCAGCTCTCCTGGAGCCCCTTCAGGCCCTGGAGGGGGCTCTGAGCTCTCCCTGGAGCCTTCTCCTCTCCAGGTGAGCACCTGCAGCTCTCCCAGCCTGGCTCCAGAGTAGAGGGGCTCTACCCTTCAGAGCACCTCCATGGCCTCCTTTGCGCTTGTTCCAACAGCTCCACATACTGCTTGTGCTGCAGACCAGGGCTGGGGCAGTTCTGCAGGTGGGGTCTCACCTGAGTGGGAGAGAGAGGCAGAATCCCCCCATTCCCCCACCTCTTTTGATGCAGTGTTGATGCGATTTTGGCTGTGCATGACACCCATCTCTTCCCCCACTGCGTAACACTAAGGGTTAACTCTCATGGTAAGGGCCCTCTGCCCTCTGGAGCAGAGTCCTTTGTTCTTACCTGCACATCTGCACACAAACCAGGCACTGCCACGGTGTCTTCCAAAGTCCATGCAACAGCTCTCTCTACTTAGGCCACAGTGGAATCCTGAGACACTGAGAGGCCCTGGACTGGAATCCATGATCCGATTGCAGCACACACTTCTCTGCAATACCAAGTGATTTGGTGCCGGCTTTGATGGGTGACTTCGGGAGAGTGGGGAAGACTGATGCCTGTACAAGCCCTGCACTGAGGTGTCCATGTCCCAGTCCCTCTTGTCAGCACTGCACGATCCCACAGAAATAACACAAAAGGTCTGGAGCACGGGACCACTGATTTCAAACCCATCTGCCTGCCAAGGCAGCTGATGATCACACTGCTGGGATGCAGAGCATTAATGTTTGCTTCAATTAGATGTATTAACATCCAAAATGACACAGAAAAATAAGGGTTTGTGGCCAGAGATGGTTCCTGGCCAAGGCTAGAACCTCACACAGTGGAAAGAGGACAGGACCAGCTCCTTCCAGGTGTCCAATGCATTTCACTGGAGGCTGTGCATTCCTGATAGCCATGCACAACACAATTCTTCTGGCTATCACCTTCCTACCAGACAGTGTAATGTTGGAGAGAAACCCAAGCTGGATGCCCAAAGAGTTGGAAGATCTGCATGTCTCATCCCTGTTTCTTGCTCTCGGAGAGGCTCAGTCCAGGGCCCTGGGGCTCCCTGCTGGCTCCAGACAGATCTCTTACCATAAGGAACTCCATTCAGTATTTGGATGTGTGTGGTTCCCCCCCTCACACGGCCCCCCGAATAATCAGGCTAGCTCAGAGATCAGAGGCTGTGAGGGGAGGAATAACAGGAGATGGCAAAGATTTCCAAAAGAGGCTCTTACCCCGAGATAAGTTGGTTCAGCTCTCTTTATTCTGTGATGTCCTTGGGGGAGAGCGGGGCAAAAGAGGACGAACAGGAAATGTCAGGGGTCTATATAGACTTTGGACAGGGTGGGCTTCCCCGGCTCTCCGCCAACCCCATTGGGGCAGAAAGGAGGGATCCAGGGCTATCTTGATCAGAGTCACAGGGTCCCGGGGAAGGAGAAACAGAATGCCCATGAGCTCACTGTGACAGATGTGGTGCATGAGCACCCTCATACTAAATTACAGATATGCAGCTGCCTTCATCCTTCCAATCACACCTCCCTCAGAAAATGATATCAGACATTGCCACTGCACTTGTCTTTGTCCAAACCCACAGAGTCAGGAATTAGCTTTCCTGTCCTTTGAAAGACTTTTTCAGTTGTGTCTTATCTCAGCTCCAGTTCTGTGATTTTGCCTGGGCTGAGGTCAGTCGCAGCACTGCCCAAGAGTGACCTGCCCTGACCAGGTGGGTCTCTGGGTACTGGGGCACTGGAACTCTTCCAACCCCCTCTCTGCTGTTCCAGGGGTGCTTAACAGCTAACAGAGCTGGCCAGAGCTCTCTTCAGACAGTCCCCAGGTCCCTGGGATGCATGTTCCCCAGCTGATTTTAATATATGTATAGCTAGCTGGTGGTATTTGGATGCTTGATAGACAGGAAAGAAAACATCCTCTTTTGGTAAGAATTATTTTTTTGTCTTCCTTCTGTCAAACAAAGAGGAACAATGTCTTGAATACGCCTGCAGCATAGCAAAGAAAATTCCAAACCTGCCTGCCTGTGCTGGGGCTGCTGCTGAGACACATGCACAAACAGTCTTTTTGGTTCTTCAAAAAGATAAAAATGCCTGTAATAAAAATTACATATTGTCTCTCAAACTGTTCAGCAAAAGGGAAATTGGAGCTTTAATTTCCCACTGAGAGATGTTGAATCAAATCTTCTCCCGAGTTTGCACCCAATAATAAAATACTGAATTTTTTTACCAAACAAGGTAGGTCTATATGAGAACAGCTCAGGAGGCTCTCACAACTCATGGTGATGAGGATGGAGCACAGAAAAACATTTAAGGTGAAGTGTTAGTCCCCTGAATTAATGCCCTGATGGAGCCAATTTTTTTGCAAAGAGACATAACAGTTCTTCCCCTTGTTTCTGAGTCTCTGAGTCACCCTGTAACTCATAATCTGCACTAGTGCAGACCAATCTGACATAGGTAAGTAACATATCCGGCTCCTGTGCTCCAAGCCACATGTCTCCAATGTAAATGGAAGTCAGGAATACAGAAACAGCTGCGGAAGAAAGAGGAGAGAAAAATCAGAACAGATATGCTTCTATTTCCCCACAGGATTACCAAGCCAAGCTGCTTGGTACCTCCAGGACTATGCTTTAAGAGTTCCCTAACTCTTTTCCTAGCTGGAAAATCTGGAGTGGCTTTGCCAATGCAAAGCCAATGATCCTACTCACAAGAAGGAACAAACCAGTTTCCTGTTAAATAAAGCAGCTGGAAATCTGACCTGTCACATGCTCTCACTGACCAGCAATAGGGATCAGCATCCGGGCCCACGTGGAGCTGGGTTTTTTTGCAAACTATTCCCCCTCTTGGATTTATATTTATTTTACACCTTTTATTCCATTTTAGTCCCTGAAAGGGAAGTTTCTTAGAGAGAATGGGTGTGTTGTAGTGTCAGAAAACCTCACAGTGTGACCACGCTCTGTGCTGCCCACCCCTGCCCCCATCCCGCCAAAGACACAGCTTCTGCCTAATGACTTTAGGTCATTTGAGACCCTGCTCGGTGTCATTTGAGGTCATGATTTGGGTTACCTCAGGTCATTTGGGTCATTTGAGGTCACATTCGGGGTTACTTCAGGTCATTGGGGTCATTTGAGGTCACATTCGGGGTTACCTGAGGTCATTTGAGAATATTTTGTTTTTCCAGGGGTTACTTTAGCTCATTTGAGACCCTGATCGGGGTCACTTGAGGTCACATTTGGGGTTATGTCAGGTCATTGGGGTCATTTGAGGTCACATTCAGGGTTACTTCAGGTCATTGGGGTCATTTGAGGTCACATTCAGGGTTACTTCAGGTCATTGGGTCATTTGAGGTCACATTCAGGGTTACTTCAGGTCATTGGGGTCATTTGAGGTCATGATTGGCATTATCTCAGATCATTGGGGGTCATTTGAGGTCACAGGGGTTACTTGAGGTAATTTGAGAATTTTTCTGGTTTTTCCAGGGGTTACTTCAGGTCATTTAAGACCCTGCTCAGGGTCGCTTGAGGTCACATTTGGGGCTACTTCAGGTCATTTGAATACTTTATAATTTAAGGTGTTTTTTTAGAAAATCTTGAGTTAGCTTGGGATGACTTGAACAGGAAGCTCAGCCTGCAGAGACGCTGCCTCTGCTGTCTGTAACACCCAGCCAGGTCTGCAGGACATCAGCCAGGACAGCTGGACACTGGTGGCCATACCACACTCGGCTCAGGGTCTTCAAAGCCCTGGAGGTTTGGACTTCTCAGCTGGAGGAAAAGGATGGGAGACCTCAGCTCCTGGTAGCCATGGGCAAGGATCTCTGGTGATCAATGGGCTCACGTGAATTGCCATTGCTTTACTCTCTGGATTTACTGCCACACCTCTTGTGGGGAGCAGTCATAGAAACGTCGGGAGGGGTTGGTTCAAATCTTCCAATGTTGTTAAAAAGGGTTGAGGTAATGATAACGAGGGTGTGTGAAGAGCAAGGGAGAGGTGAGGAGGCACTGAGAGAAGAAAGTGTGCTACAAACAGTCTCAGGGCTGAGGGGATGGGTGTTCAGGTCTTTGCAATGGGTCTGGCTGTACCTGCTGGCTTTGGGCAGCAGGTTTGGTACCAGCCCTGGCAGCCCGGCCCCTGAGAGAGACAAGGCTCTGCAGGTGGCTGAAGCGCTGAGCTTTGGGGGAAGATATCCCCCCCTTCGATGCAGATGTGGGCTAGGTGGTTTGGGAAGGCTGCACCTTCCTGGCACCTCGGCCAACGCAGGTGGCATGCAGCCGGAGTTTGGGATAACAGGAGGCGGTGCCCTCCCAAACTTCGGGAGAGCAAACCCCGCAGGCTGTTTCTCTGCCTTTATTCAAATAAAGTCGCAGGACTCCTCTGTCTCCTGTTAAAATAAATAAACTAAAAAAAATATCTCTGGTGTTTGTGGCTTTTTCTGACAAGTTTATTTCAAATGCACAGCAAGATCTCAGCTGGACACATTTGTTTCCAAAGTCCTACAATCACCAAACCATATAAAACAACCAGGATATTACACCAGAGATTTAACCACGGTATTTAATCAGCTCTTTCCAAGCAGCCCACGGAAGCTGAAGGCTGTGCCTGGGGCTATTGGGCACAGGGCAGCTTCCCCCCTGCCCTCCTCCAGGAGAGCAGAGCTGCAGCATGCAGCAATCTGACACAAGGCTTTGGCCACGGCAAGCCACAGCCAGGCCTTTCCTGCCAGAGCAAAGGGCAGTCATTCCCACCCTGCTTCCAGGTGCGCAGAGATGGCTCCTTCCCGAAAAGTCTCACTGCATTGCTCCTGTTCCTGAGCATCCTCGCCTCACCTGTCTCATGGAAGGACAGTTCAGCTATTCCGAGAAGCTCCAAGAATCCCCCTGGACTCTCAGGGTCACTGGGCACGGGGTCTGGCTGGATATAGCCCAGCAGGAGCCGAAGATTTTCCAGAGCAGGTGCAGCACTGGGCATGGGGATGTGGCCCAGCTCCTCCATCAGTCCCCTCCAGCCAAACTTCTCCTGTGACCCTCAGAAAACTCATCAACAGCAGCAGTTCAGTTGCAAAGTTCAGCTGCGGGGTTTTCTGCTGAAGTCTTACAGCTTCCTTTTCCTGCTCCTGTTCCCAGACTGCAGCTCCCAAGTCAGCTCAGAGCATCTGAACAGGGCAAAGGAAGAGGAGAAACTCCATATCCCTTTGCAGGCACAAAGGCACCCATTCAGTGCCAAATGCTTTCCTTGCATACAGGCACAAAACATCTCCTAATCCTCTTTCCCCCCAATGTAGGAGTTGCAGTTCTGCTCAGCAGGAGGAGGCAACTCCCAGTTCCCCCTGCCACAGATCAGCTCCTGAGACAGCTGTTCTTGCACCAAACTCTGAAATGTTAGTGCCACACAATCTTAAACACATTCCTGTGAACCTTAAATGCTCCAGCACATCACCAGAAATTGCCATTTGTGCCACTCACCCCCCTGGATGTGCCAGCCCAGCGTGGCTCTACCCTTGGAATCAGGGCTGGGTTCCAAGCCCACACATGAGTACAGGGTTGTCTGAGCTCCTCTTTCGATCCGCTGGTAAAAGAGAGAAATTGGGAAATATGTAGTCATCCAGTGCTAATGTCAGACATAAAAAGCTCAGGTTTCCTTTGAAAGTGATGTTAAATGCTCAAATAAAACAGTTTTATCTTTCTACTCTTTGAAAATAAAGTTACCAGTGCAAATGGCACACCCAGTTCCAATTTGCTTCCTAGATTAGTCCACCGATAGTGGAAGCATTCAGGATCCTCTAATTAATGTTACAGAAAACTGTACTTAATTACTTCTTAAGCACTTACATCTGCATAAAGTTGCATTACACTGAATACATCATCATTTAAATCCCTCACCTACACATAAATATGTATCAGATTTGCATTGCAAATGTCTCCATCTTCTGGTTTGTTAATCACAAATGTCATATCTAAATTACTCCAAAGTGTGCAATTCTGGCTTACTCACCAACTAGTTCCATATTAAACCAAATATGCAATATAGGACAAAATCACAACAAAATAGGAGGTGGAGTTCCTCAGGGTAATGGAAATTATTACCAAAGTCACCAGAATGATTCCACTGAAATCAGCTGTCAGTGACAGCTGCCATGACAGACTTCCTAAGACAACAGAAAAAAAAAAAAATGGTTTAGTGCTAGGAAAACCTATTTATGACTGTTTTCTTCAATTTCCATTTAGAATTAATAAGTGCTGATTTGACTCCTTGAGTTATGAGCTGGAGACATTAAACCAGTTCTGTGGGGCCTTGAAAATTCCCACTGCAAGATCTGAGCTGGTTGCCTTCAATGCAAATGCCCCTGAGTTCATATATGTAATGAATTTCTGTGAAGCACAGCACTGTCTCATCTAAGATAAACTGAAGCCAAGTTAATAAAAGGCTTCTTTAATTAAATGCAGCTTTCCGTGTTCTTTTTCAAATGGAGCAGTCGGATGAATACACAGAGACATTGCTCTCCTCAGCCCAGACAGTCATTATAGCCCTTTCTCAACACCAGCCACAGCAGAGGGTCAGGTTGAGCCCTGTGCCATGAAACTGTCCTTTAAATGCTGTCATCCATCACTGCTGGCTAAAGAACCAGAACAACCCTTCTGAACTGGGCCTTCTTTGGGCGCTGATCAATGCCATGGAGTCAAACACAGACTCCAAGGTTTTCAGCTAGGAACATTAAAATTCCCAGCTGCAAGTGCTGCTGAATCCTGCAGGACTGACAGACAGGATCAGGCTGCTCTGGCTGCATTCCCAAGGCAGCCTGGCAAGCCCAGAGCAGCTGAAGCAACAACTGGGCTTGGCTTTTTGGGCGTGCTGGGAGCCGTGGGCAGCAGCTCTCTGCTCTGAGGGGCAGGTGGGGACTGCCTGTGCATTCTCTGGCCTGGGAATTGCACTTAGTATGAGCACCAGGGCTTTCTGGGCACGGTCTGTACCGAGCTTTCCAAAGGAGGAGGTGCTGCCTGCAGGGCAGGAGGAGTCTCCGAGGATGAGGGGTGGCAAGCAGCAGGGAAGCCAGCACCGTCATGGCAAACTCTGGGGAAATTATTCAAAATTTGTTCCATGAACCATGTTCCATGCACTGCAGAGGAGATGAGGATACACTAGCCCCACAAGCATCAGAGAAATCCATGGAGAGTCCCAGAGGCCTCTGTTGGGGCACAAACATCTCCGTGACAGCACTGGAAGCTGGAGGCTTCTCTGTTCACTGAGCCCTGCTGCCAGCTCCAAGCTTCTCCCAGAGCACTCCTTAGGGACGCTCCACTCCCCAGGGAAATGCCCGGCTCCCTTTGCACCTCAGGGGTCTGGGCAGGGCACTGGGGTGTGGCACAGCAGCTTCTTCCAGCCAAACACAGGCTGCTCATCTTCCTTGAGAGCCTTATGACTGCTGCTGTCCCCATGCCACTCCTCATTCCCCAGAGAAATGGGGACTGTGCTCTAAGCAAACGCCTGTGTGAGAACAGTTCCTGCCAGGCATTACAGAGCAGAGATCCAAGCCAACAGTGAACAGCAGAGTGGCAAAACTACCCCTCCATTACACCTGGAGGTAAATGAAGAAGTCAGTCAGCACGCGTCAAGCAGGAAGATCACAGGACGCCCCTGGATCCCTGGAAGTGTCCAAAGCCAGGCTGGAATCACCTGGGATGGCGGAAGGTGTCTGTGACCCTGGCAATTAGATGATCCTTAAGGTCCTGCGCAGCCCAGAGCTCTTGGTGACCGCGGGCAGCGGCTACACGTAGGCATGGACGCCTAGGGCCGGCCCTTCCTCCCGGGGCAGCCCTGCCCGGGCCAGCCGGGGGTAGCTGGGCCCGGCGGCCGTGCCGGCCTGGCACCAGCAGTGGCAGTACATGGCCCCCGCGGCCAGCAGCAGGGCAGCGCTACCCCAGCCCACGTACAGGGCAGCGCCCAGCTCCCGCTTCAGCGGCACGGGCACCTCGGGGTCGTAGAAGTCGCGGATGATGCTGGCCCCGGTCCAGGAGACCGGGATCAGTACCAGGGTGCCCGTGAGCAGGAAGGCAGTCCCGGCGGCCAGGATGAAGATGCTGACGGCCCCTGGCCCACGCGTGCCGCGCCGGCTGTACTTGACCCCCGCGATGGCCGCGAGGAAAGCCACGACGGCCAGCCCCGCGGCCAGGCACATGAGGGCCCGGAAGGCCTCCAGCGGCGGCGGCAGCGCCAACACCGAGTCGTAGAGCTTGCACTGCAGCCTGATGCCCAGCTGGCTGATGCAGTCCATCCACAGCCCCTCCCAGATGGTCTCGAACACCACGATGTTGCCGTCCACGTAGGCGGACACCCTCCACTGGGGCATGGCCGTGGCTGCCAGGGTGCCCACCATGCCCACGCCGCCGAAAATCAGCCCGGTGATCTGCAGCACGCAGCAAGCCATGCCGCCCCCAGTCCTGCTCCAGCTGTGCCCGGGGTGGCCAAAGTCACCTACTCACGAGTCACAGGCAGCAAGAGAGGGAAGGTCTCCTCCAGCGGCTCCCTCGCGCGGCACGCCGAGTTCCTGGGGAGAGGCTGGCTCCGACCAGCATCTCTGACAGGTGCAGATCCATTCCTGCCTGCCCCAAGGCCCTGCTATTTATTGGCCTTGCAATCCCCTCTGACTGCAGCCCATCGAGCCCGGCAGGTTTGCAGCCAATGGCAGCCTGGGAGAGGTGGGGCAGGGCTGATTTCATTGCTGCTCACGGGGCGGCTGAAGTGCTGCTGTAATTAAGCAAGTGTCAGGGATTCAATTAAAGGTGCCTAATTGCAGGGCTAACCATTTTTTAACTGCAAGGTTGCAGCTCTGTTGAAATCCAGTACAGAAAGCCTGAACTTACGTCCACTGAATTGTTTAAAATGGGTCATTACAGTTCTTACAACAAAAGCTGAGCTTGAGGCTTGAGTGGGGCTTATTTTGAAGTGCTGTAGCCCTGGGAAAACAACTGATGGTTATTTTCCTTTAAATCAAGCCAACAGGTACTTGGTGTAACCCTTTCTTGTAGATTTCTCATTTTGAACAAATACAAAAGCCTAATCAGGATATTAGACAGGTACAGGAAAGTCAAGTATTCGAGCCAACATCAAAGCTTTGCTCTTGCAGCTCCAAAATTCACCAGGGCAACAAAACAAGGAAGTGGCTGAGGTTCACAGCTGCTGCTTTGGAACCGAGGAGCGGAGGCACAGCTGGGAGCTAATCCTCCAGGAGAATCAGAAGGAAAGTGTTGTCATCATCGTGTGCCACACCAAGAGTCTCAGGTGATACTGGGGGCCGTGCTCTGGTGTGGAAAGGATGTGCAGGGTGTATAAGGCACAGCTCCAGAGTGCCACCCAGCCTGCCCAGATCCCTGCAAGCCTGGGCAAAGCCCTTCCAGAGGCTGCTGTGCCTCGGGCAGCCCAGAACTGCTGCTGCACTCTGGCTCTGGCTGCTTTCTTCTCCTACCCTGAGACAAGGCTGGACCAGGACAACTCACAACTGCTGGAGAAGTTGATATAGCAGACCTTGCCTTTGATGGTATTAATTTAATTACAGCTTTAGGTACCTACACAACATGATCAAAGCCAGATCTATAGCCATGAAAAGGAAACTGTCCACCCAAGCCATCCAGAGCCCAGTTACTTCTTGGAAGGAAGGAGGAAGAAAGTGCCAGATAATGCAAATTATTCCATATGATGTTACATTTCCACGTGGAAAATGCTCCCAAGGGATCTGGGCAATTCAGCTTTGAGTCTACAACCAGGAATCTGGAAAGTAAAAGATGTCCTCAGCTGAGGTGTGAAACACAGAAATAAATGCGTCACCAGGTTTGTACTTACAGGAAGAGGAGTTTTAATTCACTCTTCCACAGACAGAGGAGAAGAACCCTGTGATGCAGGAATTTGATGGACTTTGCTCCGTGCCACAAAGGAGGAGATAAAGTCAGAGATGGGTCTGAAAGAAACTCCCTTAGAAGAGCCCTGCACACAGGCCTGTGCTATTACACTTGAGCACAGCCTCCATCCATCTTGCTGGCTTCCTTTACTTCTGAATTCGCTAAACTGGTTTGTATGTTTCTTATTTTAACTCCAGAGCCAAAAATCAATTTATGATGGAAAATCTCTCTTAAAACCAGCGTTTAAATGTCTTTTTTTTTTTTTTTTTTTTTTTAAGCAGGAAAACTTTTTGTGCAACGTTTTCAGGCAGGCAGCTCCTGAAGGTGAGCACAGCTGGAGCCCAGACCATGCCTAATGCCATGAATCCATTCTCCTGGCTGCCTTATCTTAAGTCAGGGCTGCAGGGAAATAATTCTCCCTTGGATGCTCTGGGAGGGTCAGCAGCTGAGGCCATGCGGAAAATCACCAGGGCATGGCTGCAGAGAAGATGAAAACTGCTCAGAGAAATAGGATTAAAATGCAGCAATACACCCAGGAAGTGCCAAATGGCTGGGTGGGGTTCCTCTTTAGCAGGAATTGGAGCCTTTGGTGGGTGAGACCCTGTGTAGGGAGTCAGCAGGAGAAGGGGACACCCAGGTGACACTGCAGCAGAAGGAAATCTCCAAATGGAATCTGAAGGCAAATTTCAGGAGCTTAAAGGAGCTTTACAGCTTTCAAAAATTTACAGGAGACAGGCTGGGATAAAACCAAAAACACTATGAATATCTGGGACCTGGAAAACCTCCTGAACCTCCCCAAATACCAGTGAGTCCCTGACTTTGCTAAGCTGAGGAAAAAATGTATTTTGCAGGTAAATCCTGTATTTGGGCCAGCCTGGAGGGGCTCTTACAGTCCTGTGCCCCCCAGAGAACTGCAGCTCCTTTTGGAGGCTCTCAGAACAAGGGGCTTGGCTGGCTGAGGCATTTCCAGACCCCCCTGAGCAGCACCTCTCTTTCACAGCACAAGCCACACAAGAGCTCCCAGGGCGGGCACCACAGATACCACGGATTTGGGGTCAGATTTAGGGAGGAATTGAAAGGAAATCCCTGCTCACACATGACTAGAATTGGGAAGCCTCACCGTGCATCATCCCCCTGCTGTGCTATTTGAATGCTTCCCTGCCTCAGGAGGACAAGACCGGTTCTTATGCAAACATGTCCACCCCAAAATCTGCCTTCAAAGAGGAGAATGGCAGCACTGAGGGAGCACATAGCCTTTACACCTCATCTCTCCCTGGATCTCTCTTTTAGATTTACATCTACTCTTCCCTTCAAATCAGGCTGTTCATTTGAATCTCTCCCCCGGGTACCACCTTCTGCTCCCTCTCTGGTTCTTCAAGTGCTGATGCACTTGGAAAAAAAGAAGTGGAGCATCCCCAGCCCACAGGAGTAACAGACCCTGTCAATGAGCCTCAGTATTTAATTAGTTATAGGCACCAATAATGTCACCACTGAATTGCCTCCCCTAAAGCAGGATTAATTCCCCTTTGAATAACCTCTCTACCTTTCATTTCAGAGTGCTTATCCACACACATGCACCTAGAGAGGAAGCAAGAGGCTCTAATCCAAGACAAATGTGCAGCCACAATGCCCAGAGCTCATTCTGTGCTTGCAGCAGCAGCAGAGAGGTTGTGCTGCAGCCTAATGAGCTGAGTTGGAGACTCAGGAGCACTCCTGGAGCAGGCAGATATGGAGATCTATCAAAGGCACACTGCAAATCCGTTCTTACCTGGCTTCCAGTGAGCTCCAGCTCCCCAGAGCCTGGCAGGGGCAGCCCAGCAGGCTGGGGCTCCGTGGGCTCCCTGCATCCCTGCCCTGGGCAGGGATGGACCCTGCTCTGCCAGCAATCCCTGCTGGAAGGGCACAGGGAGCTGTGAGCCTTTGGTAGGAAACACCTCTGAGTGGCACCAGGTCCTTCCTGCCCGTGGCTCTCACTCCCCAGAGTCTCCTGCTGGGTTAACCATGCTGGTTTCAGCTCCTTGCAGAGCTGCATGCTCCACTCCCACGGCTCCATCCATCGCTTCCTGTGGTATTTGCATTGACTGCTGCAAGAGCCTGCTGGTGAAACAAAAGGTGGTCTCAATTCTGTTTTTACTCCAAGAGAAAATGGCCTGAAGCCAACAAAGGCCTTTTTATTTGTGCTACCTTTAATATTGCAGCCTGTTCTTCTGGTCTGTTTGTAAGGTTAAAAGATGACCTCCTCCCCCCTCTCTTCAAGGTGAGAGGAGCACCTGCTGTGCTTGTAGAAAGATTTCCCAGCTCACCTGGGGCACTCTAGCTCCAGCTTTGAGACCCCTTCCTGATGCTGGGATTGTAAGAACTCACAGTTTATTTTCGGTCACCTCTTGCAGCACACCCAAAATCCCCAGCCTGACAGAGCTGCCAGGCTCTGGGTGCTGCCATACCTGCTGGACACCGAGGAACCTGCTTGGAGAGTAATGAAACCCTACAGTAATCAAATATTAAACACTCCTCCGAGTAGTTCATGCACTAAACTGCTTCAGGCTTTTACAAGGAATTTGTCACCTCCCCGCCTGCACACAGGGAGCAGGACAAGCTGGCAGAAACAAGAGCTGCCAGAAAACTGCTGTCTTACTCTGCTGCTTACAGACAGCACCCGCAAGAGTGTTTGGGGGCTTCTGATGGCACTGAGCTCTTGGAAAGGCAGCCAATTCCCAGGGCAGCACTGCTTGCTTTGGTGCATGCCAGCAGCTGGGTGGAGCATGGGGGAGCTGCTTTATTTGGGTGCTTTCATGGTGGAGTAAAAGAGGAAGAGAAGGGAGATTGTGACAGCCATGGCCTAAAGATAGGTGAGAGGCAAGGTCTGGAGAAAGAGGCGATAGCTTTTGTTTTACCTGATGCTCTTAGAAAGAGGGTTTTAAGCTCATACTCCCAAGGTCGTTTTTGGAACTCAGCATTGTAATATACCCCTAAACTAGAGCTCCCCAGTAGCCAAGCAGAGCTGGGAACTAAACTCAAGTAGGTCTAAAACCATGAAGAGAAGGGGTTTTTTTAATCTTTCCTAGTCATGATTTGGACACTTCCCTGTCCAGTCCTGTCCCCCTCTCCTAAGCCCACGTCCTGAATGTAATTACACTGTTCATTCCCACCTCCAAAATAAACCTCCACAAAGTGAGGTCCAGCTCTTCTACCCCAGCCTGTGCACCCTGTGCCACCCCAGACCCCAGCCTCAGAGCAGGAGGCTTTTGTAGGAGGCAAGGAGTTTTTCTCTCAGGACCCATCCCCAGTGCCATGAGTGCTCCAAGGATGCCTCCCTGACATTTTGGCCCTGTGTCCCTGCACAGGGACAACCCACGGCCTGCCAGGGAACAAACGTGTGGCACCACAGTCCTGAGGGCACCCAGCTCCTCCTCAGGGACAAGGCAGGGCTGTTCCTAGCCAGGCAAAATGGGAATTCCTCTGCCCATGGCCCAGCAGCAGCTGCTTCATCCCAGGTGTGAAATGAACAGGGACAGCACTTCAGGAGAAGGAGGAATGTCTAACAACTGTTTATCCCAAAGATGTGCTGGGAGTTTGGGGACTGGAAGTGAGGGAAGGGAAAGGAAAGAAGATGGCAAACAGCCTGGTGTGTGCAGCCTGACTTAAAACCAAGGATTTTTTTCTCAGGAAAGCTGGTTATGTTGAAGAGGAGCAGGGCTCACATTGCAGGCAGAAGGTGGAATTGAAGGATCATTAGGATGAGAGGAGCTGCATCTCTGCACAAGGCCATTGCCAATGAGGTGAGAGTGCCTGGAGCAGCCAGGGAGAACAGCTCCTCCGATCCTGATCACATTATTCTTCATTAATTACACTGTACACCTTAGGGATGCACATGTAGATGAGGATTAACAATTCCTCAGGAAGTAAATTGAAAGCGAAATAAAATTCAGTGTGGAGGTAGCAAAAAATAACTTCAGGTTTTGTTTGGTGTCATTTTCTAGAAAATAAAAGTTGATAAAATCCAATTCATTTGGACCTTATTAAAGCACCTGGCATGGCAGTGGGAAGGAACAGAGACCCTGGGGAGATGGCAGAGAGGAACAAGAATGTAAAGCGCAGGCAGAACCCATGAGCCAGTGAAACAACAAAAGGCTGTACTGGCAGGATGTCTTGGTTTTAAAAGACAGGAGTCTGTGAAGGAAGGCAAGAGCCTCCTGTGAAATGGAAAAGGTAAATCCCCTCCCTCCAAATTACCACAATTTCAAAATTAAAAGGCTCTCAGGCAGAGATATGGGAATGGGAATAACAGTTCTTTACTAGGAAAAAGACTAAATAAAAATTTTAAAAAAAAAGTAATTAGTACAAACAAAACTAGTGATAGAGTCAGAAACCTGACACCCTGAGGAGTCAGGGTGTTGGGAATAGTCCAGTTAAATGGTGGCTGCTCCTCCTGCAGTGGCAGATGGAATGCTGCTGGAGTGGGGATCTGTAGAAAGGTGGAGTTCTCTCTGAAGGTGTGGTGTAGAGTAGATGGGCCTGGTCTTCCTCTGGGGATCCAGCGGGGAAGGAGCTGCTCCTCTGGGAATCCAGCTAAGAGGATGCCCTGATGTCCCAAAAATGCTGATTTTATGCAGGTCGGGGTGCTTGACTCCTCCCTCTGGGCGGAGCATCTCACAATGGGATGATGGAACTTTACCAGTAATGCAGTGAGTCATTCCATGGCCCATTAACAGAAGATATCTCCCCGGAGATTGTTCTTGGAAGAGATAAGAAAAGTGCCCCGCCTCCAACAGATGGCAAATAGAATACATGCTGATTTTACAAGCCAGGACAGAGAAGAACCATCACATTCCTATTTCCAGACATTGACTTCTGCTGCTGGTGGAGCCAAGGATTTCCCTGGGGTGTTGTCCTCCTCCCCTCAGGAATCCAACAACAAAGGAGGAAGTGCAGCAAGGAAATCCACTTCAGACTCCCCTTTGGGGGATGTGTTGTCCCTGTCTGAGCCCCACAGCCCTGCATAATGGAGTGCAGTGTATCCCACATGCCCTGGGAAGGGCTCTCCCGGCTCTGAGAACCATTTACCTGGGCTGTGATCACCTGAGGGAGCGTGCTCCGAGTGCTCTGCAGCAGGGAATCTTCCCTGGCATGCTCTGGGCAGCTTCCCCCTGGAATTCTCTGGGCAGCTTCCCTGGCATGCTCTGGGCAGCTTCCCTGGAATTCTCTGGGCAGCTTCCCCTTGGAATTCTCTGGGCAGCTTTCCCCTGGAATACTCTGGGCAGCTTCCCTGGCATGCTCTGGGCAGCTTTCCCCTGGAATACTCTGGGCAGCTTCTCTGGCATGCTCTGGGCAGCTTCCCTGGCATGCTCTGGGCAGCTTCCCTGGAATTCTCTGGGCAGCTTCCCCCTGGGATGCTCTGTGTGGGTTTAGGGCAACAAAGCTGAAAAGGGAGGAGAAGCAGCCAAAACCAACCTGAGGGGGTAAATGAGTTTGGGGATGAATGTCAAGGAGGGTGACACAGAGGAAAGGACTGGAGGGGGAGGAAAGGACTTGAGCAGGAGAGGCTCCAGAAGTCAGGGAAAGCGTTCTGAGAAGGGAATCATGGAGCAGCCTCGGCTGCAGTGAGATTTAGTTCAATCTTCCTGGAAACCCTTTCTAATGAAAATGATTCCTGAGGGTTGGGATAGATTTCCAAGGACGCTGCATAACAGGCAGCTCTGGAGGTTTTGTTGCAGGAACAGCTCACAGGAAGAGCTGGGGTGTATTTATCCATGGATAATGTGGATGTTCTAGAGCTCTAGAATGGAATTGGAACTTTTGGGAGGGGGACGGGGCAGAGCCCCTTGGTTTCAGCTCTGGAAGCAATACTGCTTATTCTCCACATCATTTCTCTTGTCCCTAAGCAGGGGAAAAGGGGTTTCACATCACAAACTTCACACAAAATATTAAAAACAGTCAGTCAGACTCTAGAACAGGGATGTTGGGCTCCATTAGACACCACAAATTAAATTATGCTCCCAGTTCAGTCAAAGGCAAAACTCCATTGATTTCTGTGGGTCTGGAGTTACACTTCATTAATTGGTTGCAAAATTCTATTAAAATATTGCTGCTATTGATTGGTTTGGGTCATTCAATTTAAATCAATTTGTCTGGAATTACTCATTTTTTACTAGGCTTTGTTTCCTTACACAATCTTAATGGAAATTATATAATTTAGCCTTTTTTAATGGGAACTGTGAGCAAATACTATGGTTGTTTATGTTCCTATAAACTATACTGGTGTGAGTGGGTCTCAGCAAATATCTTGAGCTCATCTTACAAAAGACCCCTGTACAAAAAAAAAATTTAAATTATAATAAATAAAATTTATATATACACCACAAGAGTCCTGTGGCAAGCAACCAGCCCAGTGTATGTTCAATGCTGGAAAAGAAATGCTTTGAGCCACGAGTTTGCTGCCTCTGGAAGAAGGCTGTGAGTGAGTTTGACCTAATTGAGCTACAAAGGAAATATTAACTTTCCCTGAAAGGAGGATAATTAGGATGTACATAGAGAACTGTGTTTATTCTCTGAAATAAGGGATATTTTTTTCATGTATTTCAGCTTACCTGCCTCTGCTGGATAAACTCTGCAGGCAACCCTCCATTAAGCCTACAGTAAATCAATCCTTTAGTGAATGCTTTTCTTTTAAACCATTATTATCTTGTCTTTATTCACTGTTATCCCTTCTTTCCCAGGCAGAAAAAATAAAACCCCTCAGCTGCTTAACTCCTCTCTTCATTGCAACAGGCCAGAATTTCATACCCTGGTGTCATCTCAAACCCTTTATTATTGTTTGTGATACAAAATTCACCCGAAAACAAAAGCAGAGCCTCAAAAGCTCTTCCAAAGTGCTACCAAAATAACCCAAGTTACTCTCAAATAACCCAAGTTATTCTCCAAATAAGCCAAGTTACTCTCAAAATATCACGAGGCACTACCAAAATAACGCAAGCACTGCCAAAATAACACAAGGCACTACCAAAATAAGCCAAGGCACTACCAAAATAACACAAGGCACTGCCAAAATAACACAAGCACTGCCAAAATGACATTACTCAGAGCCCACTGGGGTGGCTGAGCCCCAAGCCACAGCAGAGAGCAGCAAGAAGACAGAGCAGGTTCTCATTCCTTTTTGCCAGACCCTGAGTCCCTCTTGAAGAGCTGGAAGCAGCCAGAACCTCTTGGGATAAATGTCCCTTCTGAGGCAAATGCTCTGCATTGGAGCAATTATTTTAAAAATAGTAATAAAAAGCCCCAGGCCTGCCCTTAACTGTGGCTGTGTTCACGCTGAGGGATGGGAAACCCTGGTGCAGTCCCTGGGGTGTACTGAAATCAGGAATATTCCACCTCAGCTCAGAGGCAAAGTTCCAGGGGAGGACAGAGCCAGGTCACTGCTAGGGGTCCTCTGCTCCCAAAACCACTTTTGTTCTGATGCTTTGGGGATAGCACTGCAGAACCAGGGTCCAGGGGACAAAGCAAACCTGCAGGATACAGAGGAAGTAACCCCAAACCTGAAACAGTTCTGCAGGGGACAAGCAAAACTGCAGAAAAAGGAGACAGAAATCTGCCAATACCTGTGTGTGTATATATATGTGTGTACATATATATGTATATATATGTAAATATATATATACCTCTATACCTCTAGACATTCCTTTTGTTGCACATGGAGCTGTGGGAACAGGCAGGATTCCAGAGATACCCATGTGCTCAAAGGATTGCACATTCAGCTCCTCAGAATGGAATTTAAGCCGTGTAACAAAGAGTTTTCCTCTGCAGAAATCAGCAATTTGCCTGTCATGGGAGTGCAGTGGGAAGCAGCAGTGCCCCAAGACCTGAAAGAGCTATACCTGCATAAATACTTCAAAAAAACACCACTTTTATTTAGGAAAATAAAATCCCTTTAGATTTATGGCAAGAAGGTGAACTGTCCATTGAAGAGTTCCTGTCTCTCTTTTTTTCTTTCCTGGAAAATGCCAGGTGAAGATATTTGTGAAAAGCAGAACAACAGATACCATGGGTAAAAATCTAAGAAAAAAACCCCACAAACAGACAGAGAACAGTAGATCCTTTTTACAAATTCTTATAGCTATGAATGCATGCATGAAATATTCAGCCTAATCTCTGAATGTGCCCTAACATAGGAAATAAAAACCCAGGCATAAACTAGGATACTTCTGTGGCAAAATTGAACTCCGTATGTTGAGAGAAAACCTAAGTTGCTACGCGGTAAAAGAACAATTTAGGGTATAAGATGTTGAAATACAAGCCTACTGCTATTCATCTGAACTTTCTTGCCTCTAGTTTTGCCCTCGCCATTTGTATCTCCCCAAAAGCAGAAAGTAAATGCACAAGTGCTAAATGTGCCAGCTCGCTGGCATATCAGGGATAGAGAAGGGATAAAAGTCCCATTTACTGGGAAGATTTTATGCTCCCCAAGAGTGTCTGTGTGTGTAAAACCATGGGCAGGAGGGGAGGCAAAGATCCTACAAATCTTTCCACATTCAGTTTGTCTTTCATATCCACTGACTTACCCACCATCTGCAGCTGGCTGCTGCCCATAAAAACATGGAAAATGGGAAGGCAGAGGACCTCTCCTGCTTGTGGCCCTTGGAGCCCTGATTTGTCCTTTTGGGTTTTCTGCTGCTTTGCCTGCTGCCGTCACTGCTGGGCATCTGGGTAAAGGACTTCAGGAAATCTCAGTGGGAAACGTTTCCTGGAGAAACAAATTCCTGGAATCACAGAAAAATTCCGGTCAGAAGGAGCCCCTGAACATCACCTCGTCCACCCTACATGGGAAGCTGTGCCCTTCAAAAAATCACAAGGCTGAGAACCCAGTCGAGGTCCATTTCTAGCATCAAAAGTGTCCCCAGAGAGGGACAGAGGGGGAGTTAAATCCTGCTCCCCCAAGGAGGCTTTTGAGGAGAGCCTAGAAATGCACAGCATTTCCCTGCTGGAATGGATTTGGCAGGGTCAACACAGGAAAATGGAATTATCATTGCATGGCTCCGCAGCCCCGTGGCTGCCACTCAAACAGCAAAGGAAAAGCTCCCAGCCTGAGCAGAACAAACACTTCAATGATGCATCAGCAGGTAAACACAGACGGGGCACAAACAGCAGGGCTGCTTTCTCTCTGAGACTGATGGAGTTCTAATTTACAGGACACGGAAAATAATTAGCTGAGCAAATATAATTTAACCACATTATTGATTAATTTACAAAAGCATTAAGCTTCCACAGAAATTCGTGGTAAGATTGCGTCTGCATCAAGGATTCAGTATTTGTGCATTCTTTGAAGGATTACATTTAAGTGCCTTATCTTGCTCAGAACCATTTTTGGAAGGAAATGTGGGGAAATCTTATTTAATGTTATGAATTGCATCTGCTTGTTTATAATTCAAACACAGGAAAGGGGCAAGTCAGGAATCTCATTTGTTGTTCTTCTCTGTACTCAGACGTACCATTTCATCATGGGCAAATATTAAAAATGCCTGTGAGCAGCTAATCATAGCTCTCTGTCAGCCACAGGATCCTACTGGGGGGAAGAAAACAAATATGTCAGGCATAATTTCACCTTTCCTTTTTTCCCCATTCCCACTGTGTTAAGGAATGAATACCCCTGAAGTCAGTTTCCAACTTTTCTGTACACCCTGTGTGTTTTCCTGCTCAGTGCTCAGCTCTGCCCTCCTCCCCTTCCTCCTCTTCAGAGAGGGTGAGAGCTGCAGGCACTTTTATTCTGTGTATTTGGACATAAAATGTCCTAAAAATATGGGCCTGAAACATTTTTCCGGAGGACACAGGTTCAAAATAGGATTTCCGTAGTGGCTGAAGAACTTCAGAGGCTGTAACTCCCTGAAATCTCTGGCTTAGAGAGAGCTGAAACCTAAGATGGATATGAATATTTAATTAAAATTTTGATTTGATTGAAAGTTTCCCATCTCTGGACAGAACCTATCATTTGTGGCCCTTCTGCTCTAACCTCTTGGAGGTTACACCAGCATGTTCCATTTAATTTTCTTTTCGGACAGCTCCCCAGGCTTTTGTGTGTGGCATTCCTGACATTCTGGCTGGGAAGGACTGCCCATCCTGACAGCCCAGGTGCCTCAGTGACTGCAGGGGCATCTCCCAGGTGGGAACTGGAGCCAAACTTCACATTTACCTGCTTGCCTGAGAACTCAGCAGGGAAAATCCAGGCAGAATCCAGGCAGAGAATGGACGGAGAGCCCCTGTGCCCAGGTGAGACCTCCCCTGCAGAGCTGCCCCAGCCCTGGGGATACAGCAGCAGCACCTGGAGCTGCTGCCAGGCTGGCAGAGCTGGGGGTGCTCACCTGGAGAGGAGAAGGCTCCAGGGAGAGCTCAGAGCCCCCTCCAGGGCCCAAAGGGGCTCCAGGAGAGCTGGAGAGGGACTTGGGATAAGGGATGGAGGGACAGGACACAGGGAATGGCTTCCCACTGAATAATGGTAGATTTAGAAGGGATGCTAGGCAAGGAATCCCCTCTGTGGGGTGGTGTGGCAGAGAAGGTGTTCTTACCTGTCCAAGAGAAAGCTTCCCCGGCCCCCAGGTGCGGATTTCTCCCTCGGGAGGGCACAGCCACTCCAGGGCAGTGGGATCCCTGGGTGGGATTGAAACGTAAACTTTAAGGCATTTAGAGATTTTGAGGAGCTAAGATTTTAGTTAGAAATAAGCCTTACTAGAGTTAATTAAAATAAGAATAATAAATGAGTAGGCCTTGATGAAGTTAGGAGTTAGTAGTTAACTAATAATTAATTGCTTGTCAGCACAATGTTTAGTTAGCTGGTTTTATAATGAAGAATATAGAAACTGACAAAAAGCTTTTAGGAACATAAGACAATTGTGGGCCTCCTGTTCTGAAACCAATTGAAGACAAGGAATGGGAGTTCTACCAAGAGTTCATTTGTCATACTTGCATTGAAAAGGTAGAAAGGTCAGAAGGAAGAAGACTTCATTTACTTCCTCATTTTGGGACCCCTCCCCATGAAAAGGACCACCGACCCATTTCAAGGAACAAACCACGCATGCTTAATAGCTTTTGGAGTGATTAGCATACGAAGCGGGGAATGGGATGTACCAAAATTATGAATATGTATTTGTATTTTGGGTATTCAATACTTGTATGGATAAAAGGGCTCTGTAATCACCTGGAAGGTGCGGTGTGTATTTGGGAGCTATCCCCCACACAATAAACATACACTTTCTAACTTTAAACTGTTAGAGAGTTTTTGTCCGTCACAGTTGGATATCGATACTAGATCAATATCCATATTTTTTTAATAAATCAGGATCGCTCCCTGCCAGGAGGGAGCTCTGCTGGACCTCCCTCAGCCCCCAATGAGAGCACACTTGCAGCAGCACACTTGCAGCAGGGACCAAACCAAGCCCTGATCAAACCCAACACCAGAGCCTGGCAGGGCTCACACAGCTGTTCCAGCTGTTCTGGCATCCCACTGAGCCAGGGAAACACGGACTATCCCGGGCTGGAAGGGCCCACAAGGGTCACTGGGTCCTGCACAGACACCCCAACAGCCCCACCGTGTCCTTGGGAGCAGTGTCTCACAAGAAACAGCAAATTAATTGTCCCACAAGTAACAGCCCCTCTGCCCTGAAATGCTCCTCAAGCGCTACGGCTCTTTGCTATCAAGTAACAACAACAAGATTACTTCTGCTGATGCCAAAAATCCCACTGCAATTATTTAAATAACTGCCGCCTTAAAATCACTTTCCTTGGCAGATTAAAAAAAAAAAATCCTTTTTGGTCAAATGCCTTAGGCAAAACCAATACTGTTGGCTTCTATCATGAAACTAAAGATTACATGGGAAACAGGTTCACACCCATGGCAACTCTCATCTGTCTTGGTTTTGCATTTCCACATTTATATAATAAAATATTTTATTGTATTCTAGAAAGCATGTATATAAATATACGATATATAAATATATAATATATAAATATATAAAATGTTTCTATATGTTTATATATTATGTATATTTCATATATATTATATAATATAGATTATATTTATTATATAATATATATAATATATTATATATGTTTTTATATTATATATTTTTGTATTATATATTTATATCTACTATATTTTATATAATTATATCATTATATCATTAGATAATTATATAATTATATATAATACATAACATATATTAAGCAAATATATTATTTCTATATATTATATATTTATATATTTGTATATTTATGACATATATTTATATATATTCATTCCAGGGGAGGAAAAGCACAGCCCTTCACTTCCAACCCCTTCTCTTCCCTCCACTGCAATGTCCCAAATAATCCTTATCTAACCATTTTGTTCTGAGGCTGTGTTGCCTCTTATCTTGTTACACCATGGTTTTGTATTTGATCTTAATCTTCCTCTGTTTAGCTTGTACCAGCCTCTGGCCTTTTCACATTTAAGGATTTTCTGTCTGCAGAAATTTCTCATTAGGAATTGGGGCGGGGAAAGTGGATAAATTATCAGATAGGATCCAACATTATGTATAGGGGGAAAAAAATAAAAGATAAGGCCATTTTAGCATGAATTGATTTTGCTGAAGCTGAAATAAAAATCAGGGATTTCTTTTCTGTTGGATGCAGGATGGAGGCAGTGCAGTGAAATGACACCGGATTAGAGCAGTGCAGCTCAGCAGGCTCCTGGCTCTCTCCAGAGGGAGCCTCCAACTCCCACCAACAGCTCTGGAGCCCTGGGAGGGAACATTCACTTTAGAATTTCACCACAAACTGGAGAGTCCACATCAGCTCTACTGCTGCTAAATTATTCCCTGCTCACAAAAGCAGCTGTGAAATAACATTATCATTACACATCTCAAACAAGCCTTTTTTTTTGGGTGGTTGTTACAAATTCCTGTGTAAGACTGTTGAATATTAGTTCTCATTTTCCCAAAACACCACAGAATGTGCAGTCAATCATGAATTCTTCATAATGATAATCAGGACCTCATACTTGCAGCCTTCCGGGGCCTACAATAAAAATGGAGAGAGACTGTTTGCAAGGGCTTGGAGTAGCAGGACACAGGGAATGGCTGCAAAAGGAAAGATAATGAGTTTAGATGGGATATTGGGAAGGAATTTACCTGTGTGGATGGGCAGGCCCTGGCACAGGGTGCCCAGAGAAGCTGTGGCTGCCCCTGGATCCCTGGAAATGTCCAAGAGCAGCTTGGAGCACCCTGGGATAGGGGAAGGTGTCCCTGCCCATGGCAGGGGCTGGAATGGGATGAGCTTCAAGGTCCCTTCCAGCCCAAATCAATTTCTATTTGAGCAAAGGTAGCAATTATTGCACTGGAATACCTGCAAAAAAATACACTGTGCAAAACATTTCCCATGAACGATGACTCCTTGTGCTTTTATTTCCAGGAGTTTGGCCTCAGCTTTCCTGGCTCCATCGTTTTCCAGAGACCTCCTCCCACTCAGCCACCCTTGCAGCAGGCTGCCCCAGCTTCTCTCAGCCCAGTGGAGGCACCGGGGCCAGGTTTAGCTGGGAGAGCAACAAAATCTGCTTTAATGAGTTCTGCCTGGCTGTGCCCTCATCCCCCTCCTGTCCGGCACCCACACAGACCCGCTCAGGTGGTTTGGCCATCCTTTAGAGGCTGCTACTGAGAAATTCTCTCTGGAAGCCATCCCTTCCCGGAGGAGGAGACTCCCAAAGTGTCCCAAAGGAGGCACCTGCTCTGTTTGCTTGTGCTGGCTCCTCCTGCAGCTGGCTCCTGTCCACTGACTCCCCAGAGCACAAATTATCCCCTCCCTGCTGCCTTGCACAGCAGCAGCCTCTCCCTGCCCTGTTCTGCATAGAGGAAAAAGGAAATTTCCAGCACATGGAAAAAGGAATTCCCACCTAGGTCATGAAAGAGCTACACCAGGAACTCCTGTCCCCAGCACCCAAATTGTCACCTCTTACTGTCATTGTCACTCCAGCACTTTGTGCACTTACTATATTCATATTTTAATTGGTTGTGCTTCATATTTCACATAGCCTTACACTGTGAAAAGCTTTTCCAGCCAAAGGCAGGAGTGTCTCCCTTAGAAACTCCTGGGCTTTCTCCCCTGGGGTGTCACTGAAATGATATTTAAGTGAAAGGCAGCTCAAGAGTCTGAGGGCAATTCCCATCTGTGTATGTCACAAATTCTCCCACAGCATCTCGCGGGAGGCTGATGTGTGATCCTGGCTCTGCATCATGCCAGATATTCCTAGATTTGCTTCAGGGAAATCACTGCATTTTTATTGATGCAGCCTTAGCACAACATGATGGAAAATTAGGTACATGATCACTGATGCCTTGGCCAATGCTGTGATTTTGTTTTTACTAGAGTCCCAGTTGATAAATTGATGCCAGCAACAAAGCACTGTGTTTCAGGATTTATCTCCCGGTGCTTTGCACTGTGAGCACTCCCAGCTCCCTGTCCCAGCTCCCTGTCCCAGCTCCCTGTCCCAGCTCCCTGTCAGTTCTGTCCTGCTGTCATTTCACACCCATTGCATGAAAGCCA